AGTGTAGTCACAATAAAAGCAACTGCAGGTGATAACAATTTTGTTGCTATGATTACACATTAATTCTATAGTCTGTGGAATACCTGTCCCTTTTTAATTTTGCACAAATATAAGAAAAGCAAACTTTGGCTCCCCTAGTGAAAATACTTCTCCATTGCAGGAGATTTCTATCTAGGAACATAAATTATAGTGTTGTAGATCTTTAAGGCAGCATACACAAATTAATACAGAAATGTACTAAAGAAAAGTCTCCTCAGGAACAAACAATATTAATTATGTCAATTTATAGCATCTAAAGGCTTCTTTCCCAAAAGGTACAACGGTTGTTACTTAACACCTCTAATTGTGATTATTACGATAATAGTATAGACCCAGAATAAACTCTAATGGTCACTAAGTAAAATTATGTTCGTAAAGGATATTTAAGTATTTTCACTGGACTTTTTGTAATGCTTATTCAACATTGCATGCCTTGTCAGCAATGGAAGATCAACATTTTTTCAGAAATCTTTGTTAAGTGAAATATATAAAGCACTAAACGTGTTCAAAATGTTTATATATGTGTGCGTGCGCACGTGCACACGCGCATCTCTAGAAGTACATTTCTCTCTGCATCTTTGTGTCACTATTATATCCATAGAAATGCACAAGTTAATCTTAAATTACCTAAAATGGGTCAGTTCATCCCTGGTGTAACTCCATGAACCAATGACTACAATTACACCAAGGATTAATTTGGTTTATTTTTCAAACTTTTCAAAGCTAACTTGTCTATGAGACGTTCTAATCACAGCTTCTTAAATAAGTGAAAAGACCAGTAAATTGTCAAGACAGTTGCATTATCACATTAATTAAACTGCAGTTGAGGTTCTAACAGTAATGGTTCCTGAAACACCAAGAGAACCTTTCTTAGGAACATCACATTCTTATGAAACAATGAAATATTTATATGACCATATGAAGCATTTTTAATTTTTTTCAAGCTTTTCACACAGTTGCACATTTTAAATAATAAGTGTATTTAAAAGCATAACGAAAGTTCAAAAACACAATAAATGAGGAGGTCTTGTGTGGAGAGTCTACTGTAATTAAGACTAGAGATTCAATACCTATTGCTACCAGTCAGGTATCATAGCAACCTTGTGTCACTGAATACCGCTAGAAAACTGTTCAGCACCAGCAGGAGTCTGCTTTAGGAAAAACTGCAATGGCACTACATATTGTCAACATCTATGGTGTTGCCATGGGCACCACAACAAAGAAATCTATATTAAAAGGTACGATAGGAGAATTGACAAGAAGAATCCTGGGGGTAGTAGATAGCAAAATATAAGTAGAAATGAAGGATCGTTTTATAGAAAGAATAGTTAAGTAACCTATGCATCTACATCCTAATATCCATTTATATAAGCAGGAGAAACCAAATAATATAGAATTATAATAGTGATTAAATATGTACCAGTGTTAGAAACACTACCCTATTGTATACTAAAACTCTACACTTGTATCTTTTATTGGCAGTTTTAATCTGAAACTAAAACAAAGCCACTTTTAAAATAATATTTAAACTTCCAGCTATAAACTCTAGATAGTCTTGTATAAATCTGCAGAAAAGAAAAAAGCAGGTTACTATGAACAAGAGCCCAATATTGATTTTTCTGCGGTGCAGTAAAGCATCTCCATTCTATTTGGCTGCTGTCAAAGCCACTCTTTAACAGCTGGAGTCAAATTGCACTATTTACAGCAAGAGCCCTTGTCAAGTGGACCATAAGTATTCTAACAATACACTATTCAAATGGCACTTTGCCACACAAATTGCTGATTTGATGAATACCCTATGTCAATGACTAAGGCCAATATAAAAGTTTCATTTTTATTAGAGGTTTTACATTCACACATTAACTAAAGCTTTCTTTGAAGAACTATTAAGCTATATATTTCAGGCCTTTTCACGTTGAAAATAATTAAAATCTGTTTAAATACATCAAGGGAATTTGACAACATTAATATGGATTTTGTGTTAACTGCATTTGTCACACCCTTCTGTTATTGGTACTCCCACTGGCACGTGCAGTACAATAAAAGAATTAAAATGGCCAAAGCACCATGAAATCAAAGCATTCTTCTTTTGTATCTGTGATTTACATGATGACAAATGTTTTGATACAAGAAAGCCTTTGAAGTCACATTGTGATATAAGGAGTTTTTTCATTTCTTCCTAGCATGGGGTAAATGTGCATTCATTAACTTCCAGATATTTTTTATCATATAGTAATAATAGAACATACTATAGTCTTTAAAACACAAAACCAGGGCCAAATCCCGCTTGCCTTCCTCATGTGAATAGTCTCATTGTGTGAAACTGGGACTAACTTGCAAGAATAAGGCAAACAGGATTGGATTCCTGCTTTTCCACTTTTCATGATTCTTCTTACCCATCTTTTGAATTGGAGCATATCTCACACATTTTTATACAAAAAGATGGAGGCAAAATGTAAACTGCAATACTGATAATTAAATATATTTTAGAAAAAGTTGAAAACAGAACATGTCCTATTCACTATTTGCTGGTAAAAATCGATGTATTATTAAAAACTTGGCATTGCCACTAGATCTCTCATGAATAATTTGTCAAACAGACAATTTAAGAAATCATGACCACACCCAGACCTGTTAAAAATCACATTGTCATTCAGATATTAGTGTTGTGAGGTTTTCATGTTAATCTGAGATCTGAGGTTGTTAATCAGACAGAAATGTGGGGAGAAGTCCTTGCTCCACTGAAGTCAATATCAAAACTCCCACTGACTTCAATGGGATCAGGATTTCACCCGTAACGTTTATTTGTAGACTGCAATATAAGATTATTTCAAAACATTGTTATGAATTGATGTGACAAGTGTGAACTCTATGAAGAATTAAAGACTCCTACATTTAAAAAAAAAGTACCATTACAGGGATATTTTATAACAAGTAATTAATTATTTTAAAGATAGGGGACCAGATCATCATCTCCCAAAGTATAACCCAAAAGAGGAGGCTCTCTGTGAGGAAACACTCTGATAGCGTCCTCACGGAGATCCTCTGCATCACCCCAGTGTTTGGGCATGGTCTTCCCCAACACAGAAAAAGACATTGGCCCCGCCCCAAATCTATTGGATTTCTTTTCCCATGAGGGTCAGCAATAAGAGATCCTGTGCCTCTGCACCCTCTCTGGCTCCCTGTGGCTTTCAGTGGTTTTCTGGAGCTGCATTGCCAGGGGATCTCCTTAGTCATGTCTGCCCTCTAGTGTACCCACCCCATACCCAGCCCCAGGCAGTCTCCAGCACTTCCCAAACCAGATATGCAGACCATCCTCTGTGCTGTCTGGAGGAAGGGTGGAAGTGCTGCAGAAGTGACAAAACACCCTTCTGTTTGTTCTGTGAGAAGGGTTTTCATGGGTGGGGAGTCCCTTCCATTTGTGAATCTCAGAGGGAAAATCCAAGCCACAATATCTACATTTAATACACATCAGGAACAAACAATACAAATCAAGCTTTTTGGCAGACTCGGAGAAACCATCAATAATTTCCTTTTCAATAATAGATGTACCGGTGGACAACAGAAATGCAATTAATTGCTGACGGTCAAAAATAAAGTGTGAAAAAATGGAACACTACAGAACTGATAAGTGATTGCTTAAGAGACATGTTTATATAACTACTGTACTATTTCATCTCCACCATCAAATTATCATATATTGCAATCAGCCACAATGTGCTAGTTAAGATACCCATTTCATAATCAGCTAAAAATCACAATCTTTTATCCAAGGGACAGTAGTTTTAATTCTGACCACTCTGTTAAAATTACTAAGTTTTAAAGTTAAAATGCATTAGAAAAAAATCAAGCTACTCTACTACTACTTGTTTCTGTTTTGATTATTCTAAGAATAATGTAGGAAAAAGCCATTCTTTCTGATAATGTAATAGTGAGAATCAGATTCTGTGTCTATAGCCTACTAGTGCACCATCTGCCCTGCAAGATGCTCAGTAGGATTATGCTCTAATAAGACTTTTCAGCAAATGGCACTAAAAGGAACTTTAGACATCAGACTGAGGTCAGTCAAAGGTCAAAGATAAATACAATGAGTTTACCAGGCACCAGTCTAAACTGAACTGTACATTTAAATTTATAAGTATATTAAATAAAAAGTCCAAAAAGTTAATGAGATAGGCCCTGATTCTGCTGTCTGTTCTCAGACAGAACTTCCCAGTTATGGAGACAAAAGGTTTTCAGGCACTGAAAGTAGTAAAGACAGTAAGTTCAGCAGAAGTAGAAACCATTTGGCTGTCTATTTTCCATATATTGTGTGTTCCTCTTCCTGACCACTATTGAGGAACACATTTTCGGTCTACATTCATTGGTGAGGAGAAGCAGTTATGACCTGCTCTGTTCTACAGTCAAGAATGGAATTCCCAAAGCCCATTGTTTTATTTAAAAAGTTATGACCATGAACACGCACCACACAGAGGCCTTGTATTTAGGATACTGTATGTTAAGAATGCAGTGAATACACTCTCATTGTGATGGGCAGATGGTACTGGGAAAAGATATGCATAGAATCTCTGTTTAACATCGAAACACCCTAGAAGGGGTGTTTTGGAACAAATGACAATAGGAATCTATGGGAGCAGAACTATAGTGAGTCATCCTATCATGATGTGAAGGGGATCTGGATAGTAGTGTAGAGGCACTGGGCCTCCGTGCAAATGCCCTTGCCCTCTGTGGGTTTTCCTCATGGGTGAAAGTGAGTCTCACCCCCTTCTGTTCTGTGACTTGGGGTGAATGCCACCACCTCCTCCCCCCATACCCTTCACTAGAACAATATGAAGGAAACTCCACAACAAATCTTGTGTTTCCTGGTCCCTTCTTGGGTTCTCTCCCACAAAGAGAGATGGTAAAGTCATTTGGACCACTATCAGTTTCTACCAAGTAATATTCTACTCAATCACTCTTACCTTATGTGAAGATTTTTCTATGTGGGTAAGATTGTGGGACAGTGTGCCAAGTTTGTAAGAGCTGGAGGATTTGTATCCTGCATTTTTATGCTTTTGTGTATCTTGAGAGACTGGAAGTATAGAATCAGTCACTAAACACTCTGAATCTTCACAGGAAGTAAGAATTGCTTTTGCCATTTCATCTGTTTCATGCCGTTCTAGAGTCCCTAGGAAACAGAATAGAAGAGCTTGTGAAGTTTTTAAAAATGAAGTGATATTTTATATAAAAATTACAGCAGATTTTCAGCAATCACATTCGTTATTAATGGAATACAGTAACTTTTATTTTGCCTTAATTTAACCAGATATAAATTTCTTATAAAAAATCTTTGCTGCAACTTTGTCAGACACAGAATGTATGGAACTTATGATGTATTGTACAATGTATAAAAGCATCTTGAAGGCCTTTTCAAAGCATGCACTGTATAAAACTGGAGAGAAAAATGTTATTTGCCTTACCGTGTTCAAAACATTTCATTCTAGCTTACACTTTACACAGTGAGATCAATGTGTCGTGTGTTATTCTTTAACAACAAAACCTGCATTTACTATATGCATTATGAACCTTGTAATCAATAATAAACACTTATGGAATATTTTAGTGCTGTCCTCTAGTGTTCTAGGTTACAAACAACAAGAGGAATCTATAAACTTTTCTCTTCTTCCAGATTTCCAAGTAACATCTTTTCTCCATATTCAACTTTTTAACTCATAAACATTACTAGCTGAAACTGTGTTATCAAGTGGTGTTATAGTCAGGATTATGACACTATGGATCCAGAGATTTGGCTTTAATATTACTATCTGAATGGCTCAAGGGAATCTGGCTCAGTGCCTGGATTGTTATATCTGGAAGCAGAGATTGACAGGAATTCTGTTTCCCCATGTGATACATTTTCTTTGTCTCTTCTCTTGCCTTTTCTTTCTTGTGTTTTTCCTTAATCTTATTTTCCATTTTCCTCTTTATTCTCACTTTAGTTCTACCCATAATCTCTTCTGGCTAGAGTATTAACCATTAAAACTCAACATTTGCCTGCTCTAACCACAGTTACCATAGGTATCTTCTCTAAGCTTAAGGAAAAGTGGCAGTCATCTCAGATACTACTGTGTGGCACCTATAAATAATTATTTCTTAAAGGTGATCACTTTATTTATTATTACCTCCTTTCCCACTTTATTCTTCCAATTGGTAATTGCCTAGATTAGTACAAATAGATGGAACATTGTCAGGAAACAGAGAGGACACAAGAAGAGAATAAAAGCTTTGCATGGTATCTTGGACCACTAATGGCATTGATATTGGTAAGCTTATTCACACATATGCCTCTACTGATTTCAAATCAATTAGATGACTCACATGCGTTAGATAAGTGGTATTTGGCTTTTAATATTTTTTTAAGTTAAGTCAAAAAAATCCCCCCCAAACATGGCCCAACTATCTAAAAGGGCTGGACTTCGACTTGAATTACACACCTAAAGGACTCAGAATCCCCTTTATAGCCATACACATGATACTCAGACCATGAGTCCAGGCATGCAAAAGTAACTGGACATTGATCAAATTGTGAACAATTTGCACACACAGAAAAAATGGTTGTATTGGCACCAAATATTGGGCCAGATTCACTGTCTGGCTGCATTGTGCTACCCCTTTGGTATTAAAGTAGGGTGACCAGATTTTATCGGGACTGTCCCAATATTTACTTGTTTGTCCCGCATCCCAACTGATGTTCGGTCAAGACGCGAATTGTCCCAATATTTTGCGCTCCGGCGCACAGGCAGAGGGGGCTCGCGCCCCCCTCCCCCATTGGATCCCTCCCCAAATTCCCCCCTTGCCCCGCCCCCTTACTGCCCCATTGGATCCCTCCCCAAATCCCCGCCCTGGCCCCGCCTCTTCCCCAAGCACGCCGAATTCCTCCTCCTCACCCCTCCCTCCCAGGCTTGCGCTAATCAGCTGTATGGCGGCGCAAGCGCTGGAGGAGGGGGGAGAAGCAGGATGCGGCAGCCAGCTCAGGGGAGGTGGAAGCGGAGCAGAGGTGAGCTGGTGGGGGGGGCAGGGCGGGGCGTGGAGCTGCCCCCACCAATTTTTCCTATGCTCCAGCAGCTTTTCTTCCCTTTTTTTTTCCTCCCTCCGCCGCCGGCTCTTGGGGGTTTTTTTTTTGCTCTGCCAGCACCTCCCGATATTTCACATCTCTCATCTGGTCACCCTATATTAAAGCATCATAGACCTGGCATATTGGGACAAGTAAGCCTGGCTTACTGCTGCTTTGCATTGCCAGAGCAGCATAATGCAGGCACTGTGAATCTGTATATTTGGCTCGTTATTTGCAACACATAATTCAACCAGCTTTCGTATGCTTTCGTATGCAAAATAAATTTTAAAAACCCACATATAAACAAAAAATAACATGAGTATTCATGACCCGAAGAGGCTTATTATATTTCTATGATAGTACTTTTTTTGTGAGCTGTACTAAATATAGGTTTATTGACTTGTTCTAAATGCAATTTATATTATATAGTATTTACATAATTAGTTTAAACTAAGGTTCTTGTATATGCCACGTATTTCCCATCTAAGCAGAAAGCACAAGAAATACTGATAGAAATTGCAAGTTTCCTATAAATGTCAGAGATGAAGGACATCAGGTATTTTAAAAGTACTAACCATTCGATGTGAAATGGTTTTTGTTTCTAGGTTTGAATTTTTTGTAGCCTGAAGTTATCCAACACGAATTTTCTCTTTCACAGCTACCAAATAAAGGTATGTAACATAGACGTCCTACCAGTAACAGCTGGTAAAAAATATTGGACAGGGATTGAGGGATCTCACAAGGTGTTTTTTAAAAAAAACAAACTCATTTTGTCTGAAATTTTATTTCCTTGAAAACCCACCTTCCCCTTTCATCAAATATAATACCTCCTCCATTTCTTAGACTGGCCAACGGAGCCTTTCTTTAAATTCCAGGCAAAGGGAAGTCAAAGGCCTGATTCTGCTCTCCTCTCAATATGACTCCATTGATTTCAATGGGGTTACTACCAATACAGATCAGGCCCAATAATTCATTTTCAAAAGTATGTAGTTAAGTCCCTTCCTACAAGCTGCCAAAGCCAGAGTCCATCATGGGTACTGGTTATCTACCACAGCAAGGATGGCAACGTGCCCAAGATCCAGGATAAGAGCAACCCAACTATCAGGCTATGTACAAATACCTCAAGCTAAGCTGTCTGTTCACTTATGTGCTCACATGGGTCCCATCACTGTAGTGTCCGAGCACTTCTCAAACATTAATGCATTCATCTTCACAACACCCTGAGACATAGGGAATTCTCTCTTATTTAGTATCAAAAGGCTGACTCCCGCCTCCAACCAGCCCAGAATGCCAACCTCCATCGCCCACTTGTTAAATTTTTAAAACAATCACCTTCACACTTTCTCCCATGTTGCTCATCACACTTGGGTGGACCTCCCTGTAAACATCCACAAACTAGCTCATTATCCTCCGTCAATTTCTCCTTAAAACTCTCCTCTGCCATGAAGCCAACAAAAAAGTGGACAATCATTAGGCCTCTGGTGCAGTGAGACCACGGCCTACCATGCTGACCAATATTTGTCTTATTGTTGCCTGATATTCCCCCGTCAGTCAATCTGCCTCCATCGGTTGACTTTTGTCTTATACTTAGATTGCAAGCTCTTTGGGGCAGGACCAGTCTTTTGTTCTGCGTTTGTTCTGCACCTAGCACAATGGGATCCTGGTCCATGATTGGGGCTCCAGGACACTATAACAATTAATATATCCGCATAGCCCCATTTTACAAATGGGGAACTGAGGCCCAGAGAGTGTCACATTAAGGGTAAAATTTACAAAGGGATTTAGATGCCCAAAGATGCAGATAGGTGCCAGGTGGAATTTACAAAAGCACATTCACAGGTTGGGTACCTATTTCCCATTGAAATCAGCTCCTCTGGAATGAGCTTACCCCCTATAAGTGCTGCTGTTGCCCACCTGTTTGCCCTTCCCCCTCAATCTATTGCTCCTACTTCCATCTCCTCTAGAGGTGCCTGCTGCCTCCCTCATCCCCCATCCCACAGCTTGCCCCAGGACTCAGCTCCCCACTTACCACAGGAGTTTTCAGGAGGGGGCACCAGGAGTGACCTATTGCTGTCTTCAGGAGGTGGTTAGCTGCCCCCCCTTCTTTAGCCTCCTCCTATCCAGAGCAGCCCAGCTCTGGACCCACAGGCGGACTGCCCAGGGGATGTTTCACCCCCATGGAAAGACCTTCATCACGGTAAAACCCTTCCCACTGGGGTGAAGTTTCCCGTGGGCCAGCAGGTCCAGAAGTAGGGCTAGGCTGTGCTAGTTGAGTGGAGGCTGCGTCCCTGCACAGGAAGATGGGGTGGGAGGAGCAAAAGCTCCACAGGAGGAAACAGGGGTAGCAGCTTATCACTTATTTAGAAAGAACCAAGGGGGTGCTGGGAAACTTGAAGGGCCCATGGGAGAGCCAATTACTTGAAGAATTGGGACACTGGGAGTTTTTTGCCCAGAGAAAGGGGAGTCAGAAATAAGAGCTAAGAGGCAGGAATGTGAGAGGCTTCCACTTAACACTGGGAAACCTCATCCTTCTCCTGGGCTCTACCTATGAAAGTTAGAGCCTATGGTCATACGTCCTTTCCCTCTTGTTGCCTGGGGGCTGGCCTGGTGGACATGACAGCTGAATTGTCCTTGAGCATGATGGGACATGTGTGGGGGGGGGCGTAGAGGGATGTGTGTGTAGAATGAATAAAGGGGTGTTTAATAAATGGGTGCATGGAATGAGTTGTTTTGTCTAGAAATGTGTGTGAAATGAGTATGCAGGGGTTGAATGAAAAGGGGTGTGGAATGAGTGAGTGAAATTAATGAGTTGGGATGTAATAGAATGAATGTGTGGAGTGAGTATGAATGGGACAAACAGGCAGCAGTCCTTATCCAAATGTATGCAAATGAATGCTCATCTCTGTGTGTGTGTGTGTGTGTATGCAAATTAGAAGCATACCTGCCAGCAAACCAATACATTCTATCAGCAACTCTCAGACTCTGTCAGTCACTCATGACACTTCTGTCAGAGTCATCAGATCCTTTTCAAAATGGCTGCACTGTCAGCACTGCTCTTTGTGCCACTGGCACAA